TTATATTAAAGTTTTTCTTCATTACCCATTCAAGCCGTCTCCAGCCATTATTAACTTATAAGCTAGAAAACTGCAAACTGATAAGTGTGAGGTTGAAGGGATTCAATAAAAACTCTGACATGACCCAAACAAAAGCTGGTTAAAGTTTTATTTGCTTTATCACCATGTTATCGTTACAGTAATGGCCAGCACCAGTTTTCTCACACTCACAGATACATACAAGTCAAGCGAGAATTTAGTTGGATTACAACTAGAAAAGAAAAACCCGATTTATATGATATATTTAAAATAGAAATAGAAAATGTTCAAGTATTCCTATTGGCCATATAGAAATATCGAATTGTAAATTGTTTATATCTCAACAATATTATTCTAAATGCAATATTTAAGTTACAGAAAAATATAAAATAAAATACTATTTATTTTACTACAACAATGGAAAGATGGCGTTGCTAATACCAGATGATTTCATGACTTGTACTAAGCAACTCGCGAAAAGTGTTAGAAATAACTGCGCAGTAGGCCTAGCTGTTCGAATTTATAATAACTGTTCAATGAAACTGCATTTAAAAATTTGAAATATTAATTTTTGTTAATTGAGAATTTGCGCATTCGTTAAACCTGCCTCACAATTTATTTGATACATCAACATTAATGGATTCCGAATATAGTGAAAACACTTCCTGTACGATTGATGATACTGCAGCAAGGTAATCTGAAGACTCATTTTAAAATTAAAAGTTAAATACAAAATAAAAAGAGTAATCATTAGATGTGTATATTACTATTCTTATATAAAACATCTGGCTGATAATTTTAAAACTAACATGAAGGATTTCTTAAAGGTTAGAAAAATGTTAAAAATAAAATTGGTATTGGACCTTTGGAGAATGCTGGTGAAGGTTGGCAAGAATTTTTTGAAGACAATGATTCTTATGACAAATGATCACTTTAGATGTCTGAGCTTTTACTTTTAGTAATTTTTTTCTGTTTAAAAAGTTTTTTACAACGGAAGATATTAGCAATGTACTTAATCCCAAGCGTTCTGTGGGAAGTAGTAAATTGACCCAAATCATGTAGATATTATTTTAAAATCCCTTAGTGGTAACAAGAAAAATTTAAAGAATAAAAAGAAATAAAGAACCAGTGTTTTAAAGGAGACCAGAGTTAAGATACGTGAGCCTCTCCTCCAGTTTTTGGTTAGATTAATAGATAGTGGATAGGTGCCTGAGGATTGGAGAGTTACACATGTTACTCCTATTTTTAAACTGAAGGGGGTAATAATAGGAATCGCTCCATAAATTATAGGCCAAGAGTATGATTAAAGAAGTTTTACAAAATGATTTAGATATCAGAAAGCCTGCATAGATTCACCAAAGAAAGTGGAAATATTTCCCTATTAATATGTTATCTTTTTTTGGGAAATATTCCTTATCCATATGATGGAAAGAGTGTGGATTTAATGTACATAGATTTTCAAAAAGCTTTTGATTAGGTGCCACACAGAATATTTGCTAATAAGTTATTCTGATTAAGAAGTTAGCACACATGATCACATACAAAAGTTGTAAAGGTTTTCAGACAAGACCCAAAGCTTGAGCAATTTTGAATAGTTCACTATTCTTCTTCAGGAGAATAAAGAAGAAGAATAGTGAACTATTCGAAAATGCTTGTGTTTTGGGTCTCATTTGAAAACCATTGCTAATAAATCATATCAGTATGGGTTGGGGAAAGACTGCTTAATTGGCAGTCCTCTAAGTTAGTGATGGCTTATGGTAAAACCATCAGAAATGCTGTGGCATTGTTGAAGAATATTAAATATGACAGCAAAAATATTTTGTTATAAGAAAAAACTTGGAATTGTTTTACTCCTTTAATATCCCACTTTTTATTGTGAATAACATCAAAGATTAAAATTGTAAGAAGAATATTTAATGATTCAGTTATCTCACACTGCCTAATTTGAAATTTCAGTAATGACTGAATTTAGTGGATTAATGTAACAAATAAAGGTGACCATCAAATTAATGAGTTTGTGCTGTAGTTTTGAATGTTTAGGCCTATATATCCAGATATTCTTGAGTGATTCTATAAAATGCTGCTCTTCTTTCATGGACAAACTGTTTACTAAAATATTTATAATTTGCTGGCTTGTAGCCTTTGTCCTTTATTATTTTCATAAATAAAACATTTGTTTTAATAAAAAATGTGATTCAAAATCAGAACTAACATGTACTCTGTCAAACCACAAGTGGTAGTGTTTTGGATTATTGCATGTTTTAAAATTGGAGGGAATAGTACAGTTTATTACTTTAAATTTTAAATATTTTGACATATTTTAGATATGTTTTTTATTAAGAGCAAACAGAAAATCTCTGTTTTACATTATTTGAAGGAGGAGTAGTACCAATGTTTGAAAACAAAATTAAGTCTATTTCATTGTATTTTGTTAGCATTAAACATTAACATTCTCATTTTAACTGTGATGTGCTGAGGAAGTTGAATATTGTACAGATGGAATGTGACACAACTGGTGCCTAAGGTTTAACTCGGAAAGCTGCCCTAATTTTTATTTCACAAAAAATATCTAACCAGTAAAAAAAACCAAACATAAGTTTTTTATTTGTTATGATGGTGGGAATATTTGCCATGTATCCCACTTATGTATTAACGCGTGTCTCTAAGTGAAAGAATATGTTCAAGATATATCGTGTCATTAGATTTTTGTACTTACATTTTTTAATTCTAATAACTTATGAGTGAAAACAGAGAACAATATATTATAATATGTAAATTATAAGGATATAATTATTTAATCCAAAATGTTTGCAGATGACATTCAACTATTGGGTATTTTTAGGCTTATTGAGTATGTTGAGGTATAAAATTACTTGGATCAGTTGGAAAGTTGGACAAAGAAGTGCCAAATGGCCTTTAATTTTAATAAGCTTACCCATTGGGACACCTTAGGTGCTGATGCACCATCGTTGATTCTAGGGCAGATTTACCTGGTGATGCCCATCTCCTTTCCAGGTAGCTACCCCTAATTTAGTAGTGAAAGACTAGAGGAAAGGAAGCTAGTCAACACCACCCACTGCCACCTCTTGGGCTGTTCTTTTACCAACAAGTAGTGGGATTGACTGTCACATTATAATGCCCTTATGGCTGAAAGGGTGAGCATGTTTATTGATGGGGATTTGAACACATGAGCCACAGACTTTAAGTTTGCCATCATTTTGATTATCATTATGTGGATCACATGTTGAATATAGATAGTAACTCACTTACTTGCAGGACTGAAGAAACAAACCATTGCTTAATGATGATTAAATCACTTAAATCATCGAAGTGAAGCAGTGCTCTGTTGCTAGTAAAAAAAACTAATAGAACTTTAGGTTGTACTTAAAAACACATCGTTTGCAAGTCAAAAGAGGTAATCATTTCCATACAGACCTTACTTGGAATTTAAGTATATAAAGACAAGAAGGAAGAGATCTTTTGGACTGTCAAAGTTGTCCTATCCACTTAAAAGCAAAAATAAAATTCAAACCTAACCTTAATCATTTAAATATTTATAAAGTCTTTCTTAAACTTTCTATACCAATGATATCTGAAGATAACCTATTCCAAAGGCCAACCTTTCCCTCTTAGAAAAGTAAAACTAAACAGAAGATGACTCCTACCTGAGCTGTGTATTTGCTAATTAATTAATTGATGACTGCATTTGATTAATTGATTGGTACATTGTTCCTGAAACCATGGTGTTAGAAGAAGTAAAGTTGGTTGTGGATGCTGTCAGAAAGTTACCTTCCTGCTAGGGTGTTACTTACTGGAAAGGGTTCAGAAGAGGGAAACTAGGATGATGTCATGGATTGTATTACAGGGATAGGTTAAGTATTAATTTATTTTCTCTTGAAAAAAGAAGGATACGAGGTGATCATGTTGAAGTTTACAAGATTATCCAGGGGGATGAGATAAAGGTCACTGATTCCTTTTTATTATATCCTGAAAATAATAGAATGAGAAAATACAAGTTTAATATTTGGAAAAGATGGGCTAGGCTTCAGTTAAAGCTTACTCACTCCTATGGCATGTGGGTCTGTTGACCCCTGGCCACTCTCATAAATTCTCTCCATCTATCCCTCTTTTGTGGGACTTCTGACCATTCTTCATCTATATCAGCATTAACCCGATGACTACCGGCTACTAATTTTCTTAGTAGGCAATGCAAGTCTTGCTATATTTCATTCCAACAATAAAACTAGTGGACGAATATTTTCGAAAATTCATAAGTACTTTGACAAATGTAGGTAGTTTAAGAAACATAAAGCCTATTACTTTTAATAAATTTAGTTTTTTGCATTATGATCTTTAATATCTTGGAAAACTACATTATGAAATTGTATTTATAAGAAATGATTACAATATTTATATTTGCTACAGAT